GTTACCAAATTTGTTCCTACCAACAAAATTCACATCCATAGATTCATTATTATTCTCAATCAAAGTGGACGATGTTGTCACATTAATACGTTGAATAATTAGTATTTCTATATGTAAAACAATTCCAAGTTATGGTCAATTCTACGATTCTACTACATTAAAATATATCATTTATATATTAGAAAATTAGTACAATATAGTTCTATAATGAGTAAAACACCCCAAAAACCAGTACTTTCGGTTTAAAATTAGCCTTTAAAATTTTGAATACAGACTCATCAAATCCTTGGCCCGCCCCTGCCCGAGAAGCACCACCAAATCAAGGTCATCCTGTGAAGTCGCCTCCAGTGTTCGTGATCTTTTGAGTAACTATCATGGATAATAATATTATAGAACATTTACTCTTAGTTATTTGACATGAATAAATCTTCTTTATCCGCAATGTAAAATTTAATTAGCAAGGTGCGATTCTAATTGATCAAAGTTAATTGTTCTTTCACCAATGCTGCTCAAACAATATATCTAGCGGCCCAAACATCTCTTTTACAACTTGACATATCAATCATTTCATGTGAAATTTAATATGTATATCGTCACCATCAACATATTCTTTTACAAACATAAATCATACACTTTATTAACATCTTGACTTATAATGCATCAGTAATGAAAGTGTTATTTTATATGTAATTAAAACAATACCAGTAACACTATCGTCACCCTTTTAGAAAGAAAAGCACATACTTTTTCTCAGCATTGACTTAACTGCCAAAGTAAAGCAGTTACAAGAGAAAAGTGTTGATCTTCACATCTTCGATAGCGAGAAATACTTCTTCATTCAAAAAACATATTCTGACAATACAAGAGCACAATTAATACGGTGGTCATTTCTCTCCTAAGATATCGTGCGTTAGCTACTTCTCTCCCAAGACACACCGAAACAGATTTTGATGGTGACACTATAGTTTTACCTGTGGCAATGGATTCGGAGACTATACTACCACTGAAGATTCGGATCTTCCTGTGGCAATGTATCCGGGGACAGGTGCCCTCGGGCATGGAGGTGCTCAAACGGAATGGCCCGGGTGATGGGATGTGCCCTCTTTGTGGGATAGAGGAGGACTCAAATCACATCTTCTTCACGTTTGTGTGTCTGCACAATTCCTTTGGAGTTGCTTACACGGAGCGGTTGGCGGCCGTTGGTGCAAGAATAACTTCCCCGGCCTCTTTGCGGAAATCCAAGCCTCCCATCTGCGTGTCTACCACATTCGTTGGCTGGGTATTAGGGTTCTCGCTTGGACGCTTTGGACCGTACGCAATAAAATTGTGAACCTGCGTGTTCCTCTTCGACATGCTATTGACGCCGTTTTCAAAATGTATGGATATTTGTAGCTTTGGTGGCCGCTTAGCTGCCTCAGGATCGAGACGCCACCAACATCATCATTGCAGATCTTCACGCGATGGCTCTCCGCTTGGCGCCACCGCTTCCCCTCCACCCCCTAAGCCGGATTAGCCTTCTCGAGGCTTGTGCGCCGCCTTTTTTTGTTTTTTATGGGCTTGTTGAGTTGTGCCCTCAACACAACCCTTTAGTACTTTGTCTGTTTGCTACCCTTGCGTGTGTGTGGTTTGAACCTTTGTTGAATCTTATTACTCTGGTGGTTTGCTTTATTGTATATAAAGCAGGGGAAAGCCTTTTTGGTACTATAGTTTTACCCAGGTTCAGTCCCCGGATGTGTAAAAGCGCTACGTCTTGCCTTCTATATTACCAAGCCCCGGATGCTCACACGGTGTCTTCGTACATCCTTTCTAGTAGTCATTGGGAGAATTTGAGACCAATTTTTTCATGTAAGATAATCATTTGGCATATATACGGAATGCAACCTAGAATTCAAATGTGAAATAATATAGTCTGTGATTCCCAAGGGCATGGGTTCGAATACCATGGTTTAGGTATTTTTTTATTTTATTTTCCTTCAGCCATTATCTTTATTGTGATGGTCAGTCTGTAAAAAAGCACCCTCTACAAATTAAACAAAACGCTAGGGGTCTAAGCTACGCTCATATAGCCTGGTTTTTACCTCTCAAATCAGTTTTGGCCTTATTTGCTCAAATAAATGAGTTTATGGCCTAATTTGATCGGTTCCTGAGTTTATGACCTCTCGGGTACAGAACCCGAGAGAGAGCGCTTCTCCTCCATCGTACGTATATGAGAAGAACATCTTTATCTTTACCTAATATGAAAGGACAGAGGCTTTCATACTTCTCCATAAGTCATCCTTTTATATCCGTTAATTTTATGTTAACCATTAAGATTGACGGCTAAGATTTAAAGACTGATCTACATAAAAACAGAAAGAAAAAACTAGACACACACAAGGAAAGAAAATTTTCACTCTCTCGCTCTCATAACCGTCTTGCTTGGGCCTTGGTGCATTGTCCCAGTGCGTAGCCCCACAAACCAAATTACCCAACACAAGTTTCTTGCTAATGTTAAGACATTACTTTATTTGACTGTTCTTACTGTCCACCCTCACGCCCAGGAATTATGTTTCATTCCCATCTCGCCCTGTTAAATTGATTCTCATCAGTTTATATACGTTTTGAAGTTCTTTGTAACATCAACCAGCCGCCTCATGACTCAAACAATGAGCTGAGAAAGAGAAAGGAAGCATAGGAAAACGAGAGAAAGGAAACATGGTCGGTTCTGCATGCAGGCTCCTTGGCGCATGATGAAGACGCGACACAGCGGGTCTGGGCTGCTTGGACACAGCAGCGAGGACACGGTGACACGGCAAGGACGAGACGACGGGCTGCTCGGACAGATAGTGAGGAAAACACGCGACACGGCAAGGATGAGACGCCGGGCTGCTCGAACACAGCGGCGATGACATGTTGATGCAGTCCTACACGCCGGAGTTGTAAGACAAGGACGAGACGCCGGGCTGCTCGGACACAGCGGCAAAGACAAGTTGATGCAGTCTTGCATGCCGGAGTGGTAGGCGGACACGACGACGAAGACATGTTGATGCAGTCCTACACGCCGGCCGGGGTTGTAAGCGGACTCGGACGAAACGCCGGGCTGCTCAGATAGAGCGGCGAAGAGAAGTTTAATGCTGCATGGTACAGTTGTAAGTGGACTCGGCAAGGACGAGACGCTGGGCTTGCTCGGACATGACAATGAAGATGCAGTACTGTGTGCCGGAGTAGTAGTCTGCTGTACAAATATTTGGTTGGCTGCCTAAACATGTTCAATCATCTGCTTCTCTAATTAATTTTCTCATCTGCTTTACTTATTTTGCCTAAAAGTTCTTAATTAGAAAATAGCACGTCAGGCGCTTAGGCCCACTTAGTTCATTAAATATAGACAATTAGCTGCCTAGAGAATGTGGTATTAATGTATTATAGAGTGTGCTTCTTTTACTTAAATTTTGTAGTTAAAACAAGTACATGTCTAATTGTTTGCTCATAACATAGCAGACCTAGCGATGGAGTCAGACATATGTGGTTGTGTGAGCATCAACGCCGGTGGACATGGAAGTTTCGTGTAGAATATTTGGAGCACTAGCACACAGCTAGACCGTGTTCGACCTGGCCAATTTCAATTCACAAGAACCGGTGTTTTTTTCCGTTGCAACGCACGGGCATTTGTGCTAGTTATTAAAACATATCATGCCCTTAATCGCATAATTTTGCTAGTATCTAGACCTGGCCGATGACTGATACAGTGAAGGTGGTGAGCTCACCACTTACGTCCATCTAATAGCATAATTTCGCTGGTACGCAGACCTGGCCGATGACTGAAATAGTGAAGGTGGTGAGCTCAGCACTTACGTGTTCACCACCAGTTTTATTTGTGCCGTTAGAGGGACCTAGCGCGATCCCTGCTTGTCCAAACAAAGCTCGTCTGAGTGACAATCCAACTCGGATGATTCCCCCTTTTTGGAGGTGATAGCAACATGCATGAATATTTGTCCCCTCTCACAGTGAAACCAAATAGGCTAGCCGAATGTGGTTCCTTCACTGGCATCCTGTTTTATGATGTAATGTCACTGGTAGGTGGGTAGTCTTGTTTTCTTTTTCTCTACGAGACTGGATTTTCAACACCCAGGTGTCTGGACACCCGGCTATCCACAGTACCCATTTCATTGTGATATGTGCCGGGGTCCTGCACCATTGTTTAGATTAGCAGGTTGGGTGAATAGTAAATGGATGTGACAATACACCTTTACCAAACATAAGGAACTATTGTCTACAGAGAGATTCTCCATGCACCTGTCACTGTTGCATGTTGCAGCAATGATGTTGCAGGCAGTTCCACCCACACCGCTTATATTCAAGCAATTATTTTTTTTTCTCACACAGCCTCTCTCTTCTGACATTTCTCTGTCTCACACATGGGCTCCCAAAAAGAGCCCCCTCATCTTTCTTCTTTCTCCGTTCACGGCCTCTCTTTTCATGGAAAATAGTTCTTTTCTAGAGCTCTTTTACAGTATCCTCTCTTGTTTGTCTCTCTCACGGCCTCTCTTCCATGGAAAATAATTTTTTTATATCCTCTCTCTTGTCTCTCTCACAGCCTCTCTCTCTTCCATGAAAAATAGTTCTTTTCTATCCTCTCTCTCACAGCATATCTCTCCTTCCATTCCTCCTCCTCTCTCTCTCACACGCGGGCTCATAAAAGAACAGAAGAAAAGCCATAAGTATAAGAATGAGATGACGGCCTGCTGACAAAACATCTCGCAGCCGGACCTGACAAGCTGGTCGGGAACAGTTGCTAGACCTACTCTATCTGCTGCAGCCTAGGATTGGCCTGTTGGACTCTGTAAATTTTCTGCTTAACTAAACTGACAACGCAAGTGGCCTGCTGCTGTCTACGCCACATCACGAATCTTGAGGGCATTGAACGCACGGGATAAGGGGGTGTCGGGACTCCCGGGTGCTGCACCTTTCCGTTTCCTCTATATATATGTGAAGATGCCTAGCTCATCAGTACCACTACGGCCATGGGCTCGCCTGCAAGCAGCGGCAACACGCCGTGCTGCCACCTCCTACTCCTCCTTTTCATTTGCTCACAAATATTTGTAGCGAATTCTCTTGATGCCTCTGCTCCTGCTCCCGCTCCCGCCGCAACCACCCCGTCTCCCTTCTCATTCAGCTTCGACTTCTCCAACGCATCCACCTACCACATAGAAGACCTGAAATTCGAGGGAGATGCGACCGTTCATGGCGACCTGGTTGACCTCACCTGTAACACTTACAGGAAGAACCCCAATTTCTGTACGGGACGGGTGTCGTACCGGCACCCTGTGCTGTTCTACGACAACGTCACCGGCGAGGTGGCCAGCTTCCAGGCGCGGTTCACCTTCGTGATCCATATCGACGACGATACTAAGAACAACAAGGGGGACGGCATGACTTTCTTTCTTGCCTCTTACCCGTCAACTATGCCGCCAAACTCGGGCGGGGGTAACCTCGGCATGATGCCCTTAGGCAACGGCAAGAACCCGACCGCCTTCGGGAATGACCGGTTCATCGCCGTGGAATTCGACACCTACGACAACTCCTGGGACCCCAACACCACCTACGACCACATTGGCATCGACATCAGCTCTGTCATGGACTCGGTGAACACGACAATACTGGATAGCTTCAGCCTCAATGGCACCATGACGGCCACCGTCACCTTCGACAACACCACCCGGATGCTGGTAGCAGACCTGCAGTTTGATGACCAGAGTTACAATCTCCCGGTTCGGGTCACCACGCAATTACCCGATCCAGTCACCTTGCTCCCGCCTCAGGTGGCCATTGGATTTTCTGGAGCCACAGGCGCCAGCTTGGAGCTGCATCAGATACTATCATGGTCCTTCAACTCCTCGCTTGCTCCGCCCCACAAAGGTGTTTACTAGCTATACCTTTATTTCTTCGATGCAACTGCCACGAAAAAGATACAAAATTAATACTCCAAGAGACATTAGAACTCAGCCATTTAATATACGCTTATAGCTCGATCAGGACTGTTAATATGATTATATCTCCATATACTTATATACATAAAGTACTTACGTGGACCTTAAAGGCTTCAACTTGGCATGCTAGTAAAAGATACTAATATGCTTAGGTCTCACATCGACATTCTGACCCTTCCTTCAACTTGGCCCCCTAGCAAAAGATTAATATTGTCTAAACAAGCAACGGATTAACATGCTTATAAGCTTATAGGTACACATGAACAGCATCTTATGCTTATCCTTCAACTCAACTTACTAGGAAAGGCCTAAGCATAATTATTTCTTCCATTAATTAATGTGTTTACATGCTTATTCCTCATTATTGTTGTGGTCCTTCAACTCGGTCTGCTCAGAAAAAGATGCTAAATATGCTTAGTCTACCCATAGTGGGGAGTAACTTAGGCTAGCAACATGCATATGTTACTAGTCTATGTTACTACCTTCATTTATTACGTTGTAGACTCATCTTCTCTTGGCATGTGTGATGTTACTCATAGTGTGAGTAACATACTATGTTACCACATGCCTCTCTTTAATCAGTAATTACATGCTACATCATCTATTTTGTCTAGATATGTGTGATGTTACCACTCATGCTACTCCCACTATATGTGTGGTGTCATGCAAAACTTTATTTATTAGGTTGTAGCCTCATCTTATCTTGGTATGTGTGATGTTACCCATAGTATGAGTAACTAGCATATTTTTTTGCTTAGGTGTCATCTATGTTACTCTCCATGTTACTCCCACTTTGGATAGTCTTAGACCTCCCACAATGGAGCATCATAGGGTAGTATCATGCAACCTCATGCAACGTGTTAACTAGTTATTTTGATGGCATGACATAACACTAAATAAGGAAAGAGGTGATACTGTTATTCATATCATTGGTAGTGCATCGTAATAAGTGAAGTGCTAGTATGAGTCATACAAAGTAATAAATGAGGTCATCTAAAATATCAACATATGATACCATCCATTATAGGGATAGCATAATACAGTAGTATCATATACATGATACCACCCACTGTAAGAGGTCTTAGAGCTCATATCGATAAGTATGCTTATAACTAGCTCCACGGTGGTATCTGATGCTTCCTTCAACTAGGCACGCTAGCAGAAAGTACTAATATGCTTATAGCTCACATCTAGTAGTATGATTGTAGCTCCATGACGGTATCTGATGTTTCCTTCAACTAGGCCCTCTAGCAGAAAGTGCTAATATGCTTATAGCTCACGACAATTAGTATGCATATATTCTTATAACTCCAAATGAAAGTATCTGATGCTTACCCTTCAACTCGACAAACTGGGAAAGGGAGTTGGTATGCTTATAGCTCAGATCCCATAGTCCTTCAATTCTAGCATCCTAGCAACAGATGCTAATATGCTTGTTGCTCACAATGATTAATCAACTTGTATCTCCATGAGAATATCAACTGGTTATACGCATAAGATACCCATCACCATGGTCCTTCAACTTTGCCAGCTAGGAAGTTATGCTAATATGGTTATAGCTCACAAAGATTATTATATGCTTATAGCTCGATGATAGTATATGATGATGACAATATCTAACCTATATGCATGTTGGTCCTTCAACTCGCCCTACTAGGAAAAGATGATAATATTCTTATATAAAGATCACAGCTATGAATAGGCTTAGATGCTTATAGCTCCATGAAAGTACAGATGCACATAAGCATCAAATACACTTGTGGTTCTTCAACTCTGCCTGCTAGGAGAGAAAATTAACTTGGACACATGAATTAATACAATTAACTACTAGTGTTATTTTTGTGCATGTAGATCATGACATGAAGGCTGCAATTATTGGAGGGTCGCTTGGAGGAGCTGTAGCGTTGGTGGTTATGGTGTGGTGTATCATTGCATGTTTGAAGTGGACAAGGAGCACAAGCCATGACCTTGTAGCACAAACTGGAGGACCCAGACGGTTCGACTACCGTGATCTGGCTTCTGCAACAGACAACTTCTCTAAGCAAAGTGTTATTGGGAGAGGTGCCTTTGGAGAAGTCTACAGGGGTACATTCTCAAAGGGATTGTCATCAGGTGCTCCCTCAAGAGAATCAGGTGGTTTTTCCACCAAGGAATCGTGTGCATCGTCCTCCAAGGATTCAGGTACATCGTTGAACTCAAAAGAATCATATGGTGGCGAGGTGGCTGTAAAGAAGATCTTGAACAAGATAAGGGGAGGAAATCAGGACTTCTTCACTGAGATGAACACCATTAGCGAAGCGAAGCATAGGAATCTTGTCAAACTTAAAGGTTGGTGTTGCAGGGATAGTAGCCCGAACATTCTTGATTTCATGTGCTGGTGTTGCATGAAGAAAAAGGATGAAGAGCTCTTCCTTGTCTATGAGCTGGTGCCTAACGGCAATCTGCACCACCACCTACACGAGACAGAGCAATCAATACAGTGGCCAATAAGGTACAATGTAGTATGCGTACTTGTGCATTTTATTTATTTATTTACTTTTATACGAGAATCAATGATCCATGTTGCTGTAATTACCATTGTAGTAGAATCATGAACCTGTGTATTTAACTATATGTGCCTTTCTCCCAGGTACCAAATCATCAAAGACATTGGCTCTGCCCTTGTTTACCTCCACCACGACTGCGCCCCACCCATTCTGCACAGAGACATCAAACCAGGCAACATCCTCTTAGACAACAACTTCAACGCCAAGCTTGCCGACTTCGGGCTGTCGAGGATCGGCAACCAAGACAACGTGACGCTAATGACGACTGCTGTTGGGACAGAAGGGTACATAGATCCAGAGTGCAGGAAAGCGGGGAAAGTCAAGTTCAACCTTAGCTCAGACGTCTACAGCTTCGGGATCGTCCTCTTGGACATCACGTGCACGGGAAAGTCCAGGGAGCAGGTCTGGGATCTGTATGTAAGAGGCAGGGTGATGGAAGCTGCAGATGACAGGCTACATGGTTGTGGCGACTCGGACATGAGGCAGATGGAGCGTGTGGCTATCCTAGGGCTCTGGTGTTCTCTTCCTGACAGTAGGAAGAGGCCTACCAGTAAGGAGGCAATGGAGGTCCTCGAACGTGGTGTGTCGTTGCCTGACCTTAACCACCTGTTGAACACTACTTCGGTGCCCTCCTCAATGCAACAAGATACCTACACTACTAGTAGCTCGGGCCCACAAGCACCGACGTCAGATGGAAGCCCATTTGGTGAGCGGCATGCATGACTTCTGGGGGTTAATAATGCATTGCATACTAGTAGTTGCTTCTCTCATCTACTTAATGTGTTCCAATAAGCGTCTTGTTGGTATGGTTTTACATTCATGCCGGATTGGCCATATGTTGTCTGGACGTAATATACAGTTACGTGTAACACACTGTATGTATGCATTTGCTTTGCATTCATGTTGGTTTGCTGATATATAGATATGGATGTAATAAGACGTTATGTGGCAGATACATCATACGTGTGGTCTTGTTTGCATTCATATTGGTTTAATAAAGTTGGTTAACTCAGTAATGGGACTAAGTCATCTCCTTTTTTTACTTCACGGATAAAGAAATCATGCAACTCTCATATAATTTTTGAACAGATCGAGTTATTGCAATGCAAAAATAGTTATATTCCTAACTTGTCACAGCAAAAATTAAGGACGTGAATAGCTGGGGAACGTCAGCTAGGGGTTTACCTCCAGCGAACTATTCATTCCTCCTGGGGGCGTC